CCCAGCTGCCCCTTCCGGTTCTCTGACCGGCCTCCACGTTCCTACTTTCTCTAGGAACCTGGTTGGTGTGGCTCCTCTGGCGAGACAGCACGTCGGGGTCTGGTTTGAGCCTTCGGGTGACACTGCAGTCTGTGTGGACGGTGACACGTACGCCCCTCTGGCCACTTTTCGTCAGGAGCCGGGCTCTGGTCTGTACACCCTCCACACCGACACCCGTCCGGTTCCCCCGTCCCACCAAGTAGCCAGGTCCAGTCAGGTAGCTGTGCCAGGTCTAGTGGCTGCGTCGTGCTTGTGTCGGTCGCTGTCCCACCCTGCCCTCCTCTGGCACCACCGCCTTGGTCACCCGTCCCTCTCTCGTCTCCGCGCTATGTCCAGTCAGCGTCTTGTCTTAGGCCTCCCCCGCGACCTCCCGCCGCTCCCGCCGTCCCCCGCTCCTCCGTGCGGTCCTTGTGTCCAGGGTCGGCTGCGCGCCACTCCTCACTCCTCCTCCCTTCGTCCAGCCTCCGAGCCCTTTGAGACACTCCACTTAGACGTCTGGGGCCCCGCTCCCCGGCTTGGACCTGAGCGAGAGAGCTTCTTCCTAGTGGTCGTTGACGACTACTCTCGGTACACCACCGTGTTCCCTTTGGCGAAGAAGTCCGACGTGACTTCTACGCTGATCCGGTGGCTGCTCGCCACCGAGAGTACTCGTCGTCGTCGTGTCAGTTGTCTCCACTCTGACCGTGGGGGTGAGTTTTGCTCCGGCATTCTGGCCAGATTCTGTGCTGAGCAGGGCATCACCCAGTCCTGGACTCTTCCAGACTCTCCACAGCAGAATGGGGTTGCTGAGCGCCGGCTAGGCCTGGTCATGGAGATTGCCCGCACCTCCATGATCCACGCCCGCGCGCCCCATTTTCTGTGGCCCTACGCGGCTCGGTACGCCGCTCACCAGCTGAACCTCTGGCCTCGCGTCTCTCGGCCAGGGGCTTCACCGACCAGTCTTTGGACAGGGTCCCCTGGTGTTGCGTCGAGGTTTAGTGTCTGGGGCTGCTTGGCGCTTGTCCGCGACACCTCTGCGGACAAGCTCTCACCTCGCGGCGTCCCCTGTGTCTTCCTTGGTTTCCCTGAGGCCTCCTCTGACTTCACCTTTTACCACCCTCTCTCCCACCGGCTCTTTGACTCTCGTGACGTCAGTTTCGACGAGTCCGTCCCCTACTTCGTCCGGTACCCCTGTCGAGGTCTCCCGGTTCCCCCCCCTCCCCTCTTCCTCGCCCCAGCTCCTCCTCCTCCCGCTCCCTCTCCTCCGGTGCCCCCCCCAGTTCTCGCTCCGTCAGGTGTGTCGCAGGCTACCCCCCCTCCCTTGGTCCCCCCCCAGGTCTCTCCTCCTTGCCCACAGTCGTCCTCATAGCCTCCGCAGCAGCCGTCGGCGCTTCCTCTCCCGGCCACTGCGGACTCTGAGGGTGTTGGTGCTCGAGGTGAGGGCTCTGGCGGTGCTGGTTCTGGGGGTGTTGGAGTTGGAGCTGAGTGTGCACCTGCCGCAGCTGCACGTCCCGAGCGTGTTGGAGTCGGTGGTGGTGCTGGAGCTGGTGGTGTTTCTGGAGCTGGAGAGTCTGGGGCTGGTGCTGGTGCCACTGGCGGCGCCACGACTGGGGGTGCGGATACACCTCCTACAGGTACTGGTCGTGCTGCCGCAGGGGGTCCTCGCTCTGGGGGTGCTCAGCCGGGTCCTGTCGAGGGTGGAGCCGGTTCTTCTTCGTCGTCTCCTGACACCACTCCTCCTCCTCACCCCTACCCGACTCGTTACCAGGCCCTTCGTCGTCTAGAGCGTGAGGAGCAGCAGCGTTTGGAGCGTGAGAGGTCGGAGGTTCAGCAGCGGGTGGAGCGTGAGCGGTTGGAGTTCCAGCAGCAGCAGCAGCAGCAGCCGCAGCCACAGCCACAGCAGCACCAGCAGCAGCAGCAGCAGCCGCCGCAGCTGCCAGAGCAGGCCCCTGTTTCTGGCCTTCGGGCCCTTGGTCTCCCCTCCTCTCCTCCTGTGTTCGGTCCCACGTTTCCTCCTCCGGACTCCACTCCGGCTGTCTTCCCTCGTTCTCACTCTCCTCCGTCCCCCCCTCCTCTCGCCCACACTTGGGCCTCTCGCCCTCCTCGTGCTCGTCCCTCGTCCCCTGTCACTGACCTCCGTACCGTGTTGTTTCGTCCTCGTCCTCCTCGTTCTCCTCCGTCTGTCCTTCCTCGTCCTCCTGAGTCTTCCCTCACTGCCTCCCTGTCCACTCCGGTCACTGACTACTACCGCACGTACCGCCCCACTCTCTCTCGTGTTCTCGCATCTCTTGTTACAGACCCTCGTGCCTCTCCTTTCTCCGTCGCGGTCCTCACTGCCGCTGTCACTGACTTTACTGCCACACGTCGCCTTGACTACGCCACTCGAGTTGTGGCAGCTCCTCCTGTCCGTCCTCTGTCTGCCGGGGGTGTGTGTGCCCTTGGCTGTGACGTCCTAGAGGACAGACAGTTTGAGCTAGAGTTCCTGGCAGCTGCTTCGCCTCATCTCTGTGCCATGCTGCTCACTCCTGAGGGAGACCCCGACGCTCCTGACATACCTACTCCTCGCACTTACGCTGAGGCAGTGTCATGGCCTTGGGCCTCTCAGTGGAGAGCTGCCATGGACGTAGAGATGGCCTCCTACAGGTCCACAGGCACTTACGTTGACGAGGTTCCCCCCCCAGGGGCGAACATTGTTGACGGCATGTGGATCTTCAAGGTGAAGCGGCCGCCGGGATCTCCCCCAGTCTTCAAGGCACGCTACGTGGCTAGAGGGTTCAGTCAGCGCGAGGGGGTTGACTTCTTTCAGACCTTCGCGCCCACACCGAAGATGACCACTCTTCGGGTGTTACTGCACGTAGCAGCGCAGAGAGACTACGAGCTACACTCTCTTGACTTCTCCACTGCCTTCCTCCAGGGCTGCTTACACGAGGAGATCTGGCTGCGTCGTCCTCCGGGCTTCACTGGCACTTTCCCGCCTAGGACCCAGTGGAGCCTCAGACGACCGGTCTACGGTCTCCGCCAGGCACCCCGTGAGTGGCACGACACTCTCCGCTCTACTCTCTCCGACCTCGGGTTTGAGCCGTCTTCCGCCGACCCGTCGCTTTTTGTTCGTCGTGGCCGTACACCTTTCTTCGTCCTAGTCTACGTTGACGACTTGGTTTTTGCCACGGCCGACACAGCTGCACTGGCGGAGGTGAAGTTCGAACTGCAGAAGAGACACACCTGCACTGACCTTGGGGAACTGCGCCGCTACCTTGGCCTGCAGATCTCGAGGGACAGAGCCGCTCGCACCATCACTCTCACTCAGTCACACATGGTGCAGCAGGTTCTTCAGCGGTTCGGGCTTCAGGACTCTTCTCCTGCCCCCACTCCTCTTGCTGTAGACCACAGACTCACTGGGCCTTTTCCTGACGAGCCGTTCGAGCCCAGTGGTCCCTACGCAGAGCTGGTGGGCTGCCTCATGTACCTGATGACGTGCACTCGCCCGGACCTCGCCTTCCCCCTTAGCATCCTGTCTCGCTTTGTTGCGACTGGGAGACACTGTCCTGTTCACTGGGCGGCGGCTTAGAGGGTGGCGAAGTACCTTGGCGCGACATCAGGCATGGGGCTTGTACTTGGAGGGACACAGCCAGTTGTACTCACCGGTCACTGTGACTCTTCCTACGCTGACGACGTTGAGACTCGGAGGTCTACGCAGGGTTACTGTTTTAGCCTGGGTTCTGGAGCTGTTTCGTGGAGGTGTACTCGGTCCTCCTCTGTTGCGACTTCTACCGCAGAGGCCGAGATCTACGCTGGGGCCCTTGCTGCTCAGGAGCTACGCTGATTGACCTTTTTGCTCACTGACCTTGGTGAGCGGCCGAGCTCTGCACAGACCTTGTTTGCTGACAACAAGGCGATGATTCTCCTGTGTCGTGAGCCTCGACTGGAGAGCCGAGTGAAGCACATCGACGTCAGGTACTTCCTCCTTCGAGAGTTGCAGAGACGCGGACAGGCTCGTCTGGACTTTGTGGCCTCCGAGGCCAACACTGCAGACATCTTCACCAAGGCCCTCCAGCCTTGTGACCACCGTCGGTTTTGTCTGCAGTTAGGCCTCGTTGAGACTGGGTCTAGTTGACTGCTGTAGGGTGCTCTTTGTCTGTTGCTTGCTTGTACCTTATGTATATATATGTATATATATATATATATTTGTTTGCACACTTTTGGACTGGCCTTGTGGCCCTTTGCTTGTGCTCAGATTAGGTGGTGACGTTGTGATCCACCCTGAGCTTTGTTTTCTTTCTCTTGTTTTTGACTGGTCTTGTGACCGTAGGTTGCTTGTTGTTGATTGGCCTTCCCCACTTAGGCTATGGGGGTGTGTCAAATATTATAGCCTGTAGTGGGTTGGGCTATATGGGGTACAACTAGTTAGGGTTAGGTGATGTACCCCAATTCTGTCAACACAACGCATTCCGCTGTGGTTCTCATTCTGACAATACTGTACCTACAAGCAGGTGCAAGTGAGTGACGTGACACATCTGGAGTTGACGCCATTGAATGGCACACCACCAGTTGAGAAGCAGGCATCTTTTGTTGAGTACTGATGCTTGTTGTAATATATTGGGAATGGAGACAAGTCATGTGAACATGACCTAGGTACTAGCACAGAGGTAGACAACCCTGACCATCAACACTGGTCAATATCAAAAGGACTGCCATGCCATGCATGAAAGAAAAGCCAATCGTAGGGGCCCCAACTCTGCACTGTCCTATTTCCAGCTATGGTTCAGCCCAACAACATTGTGTGCATGCATGCCAGGTTCCACAGAAGCCTTCAGCTGCACAGGAATAATCAATCTGCTAAACAGGGCATGCCACAGGAGAAGAAAAAACAGAAAATCAATCGGGGCATTCACAACGATCATGGGGCCATTTACAACGAACATGGTACGATAAAGTGGCTCGACTTGACGCACAGTCCAATCCCTACGAGAACCTACCGTAGGCTAAGGGTACCCATCTGATCTCAGCTGAGGTAATGCAGTAGTTGGTAAATTCTCCTCCAAGCCCCATTGTGTCTGCCTCGATCTGCCAAGGGGAGGGGGGGATGGCGGGGAAACCATGCCAAGTGAGAACAGATGGAGGAAAGGTGAAGGGAAGGGAAGGGAAGGGAAGGAACAGGAGGGGAACTTTGGCAAACGGGAATGGATGGAAGGTAAGGGAAGGAATTCAATTGGAAGAGACGAACGGGCGGATATGGAGTGGGATTTAAACGGAGCGGAGGTGTGACGGCTGGTGATTGAGGAAAGGAAAGGAAACGGCAGCGGCGACGACATGGGAAAGGGCTTTAGAGACGTTTCAAAAGGGAATAAAAGGGAATCAAATGGAAGAAAGAGCGGAGGTGTGAAGGCTGGTGAGATTAGAAAGGGAACGGCAGTGATGACATGGGGAAGAGAGGGGACGCGACGAGGGGAGGAGAGGCGCGAGCGAGGGGAGGAGAGGCGCGACGAAGCACGTCGGGAAGTGGCGCGACAACGGGGGGGTTGGGACGAAAAGAGGTGTTACGAGAGGGGAAAGGCGAGTCGAGGGGAGGAGGGGAGCCACGAAGAGGGGAGCGCGGAATAAGGGGGGAAGGCGCGACGAGGCGGGGAGCAAATGGGGAGGCGTGATGGGTGCCTCAACGACATGAAGCACGGCGAGGTGCGATCGCACCTGGAGGCAGGCGAGGGTAGGCGAGGGCAGGCGAGGGCAGGCGAGGCTATAGTCACTCTCGCGACAACACTCACGAATTTGTGTCACACAGCGAATACGGATGTAGATTTTCGCCCTCGTTCGCCCTCTTTACGGATGCAGTGGCGAATGCGTTGTCAAAATAGTACCCCTAAATTCATGAATTAGCCGTACTTGACCGTGCTTCTTACTATCTGAGAGAATCACGCAAAATTCCACTCTAGCACAGGTAAGTGGATCATTTAATGTGAATGCCCACGTCCCACTCAGAGCGAGTGCGGAAGGGGTTGGGATTGTGTGGAAAAGGAAATGGCCGCGTGTGGAGATGGGCATAGCGTGCCACGCAAAGTTGTAAACGCGAACGTGCATACTATGCACTATAAACGTGCTGTGTACTTACTATGTAGCAACTCCACTGCTGGGGGGTATGTACGCATATGTGCTGATACATACAAACAACTACCCACCGCTGCGTGGAGTAGGTACAATGTCCCAACCCTGCTCCTACTCCGCGGATGTGAGGAGTTCCCACCATGTATGTGCTGTGTCGTAACGCTACCCCTTGAGGTTGGCTGGCGGTGCAGTACGGACTGACTCTGTAGTAGCCCATCGGGAACATCCTGTATAATAACTAGTTACAGTGTAGCTACTCCGCCCAACATTACAGGGTAACGCATGTTACAGCATGTAACACAACGTACATTGCATTTAAAACACCACATATTGTTCTATAATTAATATCCTGCATGGTTTTTTCCCATGAAAAATGATTAACCAACAATACAAACAGCTGCAATAAACCGTGACAGCACACGGGAGCAAAACCACTACGACACACTGTCTAGACATCCTCATCCTCGTCCTCCTCGCCTCCCACGCTTGCATCAACATCTGCAAAATCCTTGTCCTCCTTCTCATCCCCCACAATCTCCTCCGGGAGGCCCCTCACTTCCTCCAAGTGTGGGTACTTGATGAAGACGTTGAAGTACTTGCCGGGGCTAAACCTCCATGCCTCTTCGTCAGCCACCCATACTGGCCCATCATCCTGCCCAGCCCACTGCAGGATGGCTGTCCGCAGCCAGTTGCGCACGATGGCGCACATGCGCGCGGCGTTGTGCACATTTGGTGAATCCTTCGTGGGGAGTCCCATCTTCCCACTAGTGTAATGCAGGATGGGATACTCAGCCTGCACCACAAGACAAGCAAGGATAAGCCAGGCCCTAAAGATGACATGCAGGGTGGGTGGGCAGAAGGGTACTACTCACGGCACCAGCAGAAACAACACAACATTCACAAGGCTGGCAGTATGACTCACCCCGTACAGCGCGTAACCCAGGGTGTAGGGGAACACCCTGACGGTCTTGCCATCCAAGATCCAACTGTACGCAGCTGCAATGAAGATCTCAAACTGCACCGTTGCAAACGGCATCCCCTTCTCGTCACAATGCCACGTGAGGGAGAACCCACCTATTGGATTGGGTGGGGAAGCACAAGTGATGGGGGAGGTGGGTTCAGTGAGGGGGATGAAGAGAAGGTGAGCTGCTCATGCTTGACTCGCTCACCCTGCCGTTATTCGCCGCTCACCCTTGACTCGCTCACCCTGCCGTGGGTGGAGGGGAGAGGGAGGGAAATCTGAGGAGTGGAGAGCGGATGAGTGGAACGTGACCTGCTGTCCCCGCCAGGGTTGCGCTCGACGCCGTCACCTTGCCGACCGCCGCCGCTTGTTGGCTGTTGGAGGGGGAGGGAGGTAAGGAGTAGAAGGGGCAGAGATACGAGAAGATGAAGGTGAGCTTCCCCGCCGTCACCTTGCCGTCCGCCGCCGCTAGTCGGCTGTGGATGTGGTGGTCGGTAGAGTGAAGGAAAGCAAGGTAAATATGGTGAGCATGGCGCAGGTTGAACGGCCTGACAAGCCGCCATCCCCGCCTATACCCATTCAAGGGCCTCAGGCCTCTTAGAATAGTTTGCTCTGGGTGAAAGGGGGCAAGATGGTGGAGCTCACATTCAGTGCTGACACTCTCTCACAAACTACCCTAGGCTTCTCACGCACGTAGCAGAGCATGGGTTGGGAATACGTACGTGGGATAAAGTCGCCGTAGGCTTGCTGCAGCGTGCGCTGCATCTTAGTCTTCACCTTGCGCCACGGAACATCGGTTGGCATGTCCGCGCACTCCCGTGGAATGCCCACTGCGCGAAACACTATAGTTTTCCCGTGCCGCGTTATGGCCCCCCGAATACGCGTCGTCATCCTGTTCCACGCCTTGATGTGGGGTATCGAGTCCGTCAAGCATAGTTTCAACGCAGGCAGTTGAACAGGCCTTATGAGCTCGATCTCAAGACATGCCTGCGCAGCGACAACCGGTTTCGGCCACATGGACAGTTGCCTCTCTCCCTCAGCAGGGACACGTGAGAAGCATCGCAAATAGGCTGGCACCAGCTTTTTCTGCCAGGGTGTGGGAGAGTGGGGGAGATGGAGTTACATAGGAGAAAGGCCGGACGGAGACGGGGAGATGCGCTGCCACTCGCGCCTTGCCCGTACTCGCCGCAGGCCGCCCCCCTCACCTGCCGAGGGAGGGATAAGGGAGGAAAGGAGGAGGAGCGGCAGACGGCGTAGGGAATGGGAGCGCAGGTTGCCGCGCCCTGCCCTTTCTCGACGCGAATACGATGCCGACAACCGCCGATCACCTGCGAAGGTTACGGAGAGGGAGGGACAGCGCAGGATCGACGAACGGTGAAAGGAATAGGTGCTTCCGTCTGCGCCTCCCCCTTTCTCCACGTCGTCGCCTTTCCGTCCGCCCCCACTCACCTGCAGTGGGAGGGAGAAGGGAGGGAAAGGAGGAGTAGCGGCGGACAAGGAAGAGGGAATGTGAGCTTCCAGCCGCGAATTGCTTGAGGTATGACGCCTCTTCCTTGCAGTCCGCTACAACACAGGCTGCACACGGAGGGAGAGGGGGGAAGATGGAGGTTAAGATGAGGAGCGCTGCCAGCCATGCCTCGCCCGTGGTCGACTCCTTCACCTTGCCTTCCGCCTCCCTGAGGGTGCAGTGTGATGCAACGCGGGGTAGAGGGAGATACCGAGGGTATGTGCGCTTCAATGCGCACATTGCCCGTGCGAGACACCGTCACCGCCGCCTTCCGCCTTCACGAGGATGTTGTGTGAAGCACACGGGGGAGAGGAAGGGTGCACATGGGGCGCATGCGGGGTACAGGATAGAGCAGAAACAAGGGACGTTGCAAGAAGTCATTCACGACAGCTACATTTACGGATCCACTAATGCCAGCCGACCGCAACTACCAAGCAAATAATGCACCCTAAGGCTTACCGACATAGCATTGGGCGACATTAACGCCTTTGCCGCTAGGGCGACCTCCTCATTGAAGTCCGGCGGGGACGGGTCGTTACTACCAGAACCCGGCGCAGCGGTTTGCTGAGACGGCAAAGGAATGGGGAGGCTTGTCATAGCCTCTTGTATCGCGCGTCTAACGTCAGCGGCTGTGACCTGCTTAGGGAGATACTGTCTCAAGAACGAATTGAGTTCAGTCAACACTCGTTTGTTGTCTCGCATGCCACGGTGCAGCTCCGCAACCTGGGCCGTAAGCGTAGAGTAGCTTGTGTCGCCATCATCCTGGCGAGTCTCGGTCCAGCCAAAATCGGTGAGGCCATGAAATGCACGTCCACTCAGTCCGTTGACGCCCTTCGTGCGTTCTGCATGGGCAGTGTGGAGAAAAACGAGGGGAGGATCAGTACACAGGACGCGTGAGGCGTGCAGCGTGTTGTCGAGGCAGAAATATAAAACACGCCAATTTGACATTGTCAGATTATGGAGTACGCGGGTTATCGTTGTAACAAAGGTGAGTACTGTACAGCTAGTGTGCACTCCTTGAAATTTGCGAAGCAGAGGCCAACGGTGGTACCTATTGTGCCGTTGGCGTCTCGCAGACGAGCGGTACATGTACTCTTGTTCAGCTGCGCACTGACCCGACGCCCATGTTGCCCTCTCCCGGCCTGACCATGACCACGCTGCTCCTCCTCTTCGTCTGCAGAAAAAATCACAGGTGGAAAATATTCTTCAAACACAAAGACGTTGAGAAATGGCACCGCAGCTAAAAAAAAACTGACCTACACGGTTCGCGTAGCACACGTCATATTCATGGGCGATGTCGTCGTCCGGGGTCGCCCATCCATGCCCATTACCATGGTGGAATGCAGCGCGTCCGCTCAGTTCGTTGACGCCCTTCGTGCGTACACCCTGGGCTGTGTGTTCCAAGGTGATGGCAGGGAGGGTACAAGAGTGTGAGGCGTGCAGAGTGTGTTCTCGGCTGACTAGGCAAGAACACATACAATGCGGGCCCCGTGCTTGGCACCATCCCAATGCTAGAGACCTGCGAAAGGGCAAGCGGATGTACTGAAACATAAGTGCAATCACCCAAGCAAACTACAGGAACGGATAAGCTCTGCTCTCACGAAGTGCCGTTGGGGGCCGTACCCGTTGTGCCGTTGCCGTCTCGCTGACGAGCGGTACTTGTACTCTTGTTCAACGGTCCGATGTTCCGTCGCACTTGTTGACCTCTCCCTGCCTGACCATTAACACGCGGCTCCTCCTCGTCGTCTGACAAGAATAAAGGCGATTGTAAGCATCCGAGAGAATATTGTTGTGGTGCAATTTGTCGCTCACCGAAATAGGTCACTAACCCTCGTCATTGCCGTCGACGTCCTCATCGTCGTCAGCGCTCGCATCACCTTGGTCATCCATGTCAGAATCAACGCCCGTACGACGACCCAACGCCCTGCACGTTCGGGGGTATTCTTCTTCCGTAACAGCGATAAGCCTCTTCTTACCGCTCTGTTTACGACGCGTAGCATGTGCCTGAGGGGTGCCGCTTTCCCACTCATCACCAGAATACATGGTGTTATCCATACGCGTACGCTTATCACGCCCGGTACCACCAAGGCTTCCGGATGGCTCGGCATCATCCGCCATCGTGAACGAAGCACGCTACGACATGCTCGGTAAGAAGCTTCATGATTCATATACGTGCTGGTCGCCAGCATGTCTCCCGCATACAGTGCAAGGAAAACTGGCTATCCTAGGGTTTGAGAGTCTGACTTCAGCAGCTCAGAAAGAGGGAGCAGACGAGGGTTTGAATGACGAGAGAAGCCACGATCCGTGTGCGTACAAATTATCCAATCCCGCTACATTGTGCAACGAGAAGACCCAAGCCACAGAACCGCAACTGCGCCCAGCCGTCGATTGACACCTCATGCTCCTCTCCGATGTTGCATTACCAACACAACCAACAAGGGTTGAGGTGTGAAGGGGGGGGGGGGGGGGGGGGGGGGTTGGATAACTCCTCACGCTCGAACCGTTCAACTGGAGGGTTAATCCAAGGCACGATCTCGTTCACCGCCATTTAACGGTTACGATATGACTTATCCAACATTTCCATAATCCACGGTTCACATTCCAACTTGAGAGAACCGAGACATTTACCACCAGTTCCCCACTCTGTCTCTCTACGGCACTCCATGGCATATAATGCAGTAGAGTGGGCGGAAGGGGCGTCACTTGTCTAGCGAAACATGATCGACAGCCAGGTAGTTGTTCTGGAAGACTCACAGACGTTGCCCATGGATGAAGGAGCTACAAACGACACTGCCCAGCCTCGCCCGCCACGCACAGTCTCGCAGTCGCGGAGCCATGAGCAGTTCAAGGCTAACTGGAAGGTTTTCGGCTTCGGCGGGGGCGAGTCTCCGATTGACGACGATGATGTTGAAGCTGCCGGTGCGACTGTAATCCCGGCGGAAGGCGATGTTGAACCGGCCGTGAAAGCGGACTCTTCTCCAACCATGGTGCGGCCGAGAACACTGCGTGCAGCACGTTTGGCGGCTGCGTACAAGAGCCCGGGGGAGAAGAGAAGTGTGGAAAAACGCATTCGTCGCGCCAATCCGTACATCAACGAAGAGGAGCCGTGGCTCACCAAAATTATGTCCCGAAATGCGCGGAATTGCGCTACACGCAGCGATGTGCCAATCCCGCCTGATAACACGGACAACCACACGGGGCAGGCGCCGAAGCGCCTCAGGGGAGACGGAGAAGCTCATAAAGTATGCAAAAAATGCTCTATCGGGCATGGGAGCGACAGAGGTGATCCTTGAGCCTTACTCACTCCAGTTTCGCTAAGCACGATATGATTGCTAATGGATGACTGAAAACGTCACATTACCCCGTATTCATGTATGTTGTCTGTACAGTTGGGAACCGTGCATCACGGGATCGCGACGACAGCCAGAACCCGTGGGCCCGTTACGACAGGCACATGGAGATGTCGCTGCTCTTGATGCCGCATCACTGCACCATAGACCTCCTGGGATCCACGGTGACGCAGAACGACGATCAGCAGTATCAGATGGACCATGAGGATGAGGTCTTCTGAGCCACGTTGATGATAATTGTGGTTGTTATTGCGCATTGTTGGTCTGCTGCAGCATTGTCTAAGTTATTGTTGTGTTAAGGTCCTATGTGTGTATGAGTTTTGTTACGTTTATATTGCAATTTGCGAAGATGTACCGAAGCATCGAGTATGCTCCCGTCTCGATTGTTTTGTGGTTTTGACGACGTTGACCACGTCAGCTTCACTGCCCGATCGTGCGCATCTACCCTGCAGATGATAGATCTTGCAGGGAGTCGAAAATGGTTTCAGGCCAATGTGCGTTTTGAGTACCGAGAACAGTGCAGTGCGGTGCAAAGCGACGTAGACAACTACTAGGAACTGCATAAACATGAGGGATGGATGCCAAACCTTACGGTCGGAACACACACCGTTGGGGTATCCGTAGAGCGTGAAACGAACCCCATTGTATGGTGTCCGGGGTCCAGGCAACCAGCCAAGTTCACCGCACATTACCGTAAAGGTTCGAAAACATAACGCAACCAACCGAAGTGTTTTCATACTCAAAATGGGCAGGTCGACGCATCCAACACAGGAATACAAGGTACGCAAGACCCTCTTAGGGTTTCGATCAAATATGCTGTGGGGTAATCACGTAACCATCTTACCCTGCTGGACCGCGAGCGCAGAGAAAGAGCAGCCGACAGTCTCACCCCTTATATGATGCGCCGTCTCCCTAGGTTTCGGCTCGCGTATGAAGGCAGCAGCACCGCTAATGACCCAGGCCACGCATTCCGGGCGCGCATTCTTAAACCCACGACAGTAAATGTTGTTCACCGCCATAGTGCTGCCTTTGTTCGTACTGTCGGTGGTTACTTGCAAGTGCGAACGGAGGTTTGGGTCGTCTTCTGCCCACATCGCACACCGGCTTTCAGATGCGTGCTGCGAAGTCAGAGCGGCAAGCTTAAGACGAGAGCAGGGTGACGCGAATACTGTCAGTGCAGAGCAGGCACAGAATGACGCACATCCACCTCCAGACACGAGACAACACAGTGTGCATCCCAACATTCCCGATCAGCCAGAGGCCATGGCTACCCACACCAGTCTGCCTCACCATGGTATCTCAGAAATGCAGACCGATGACCCGGTGCTTGCTTCATTTGATACTCCACGGGAAGTGTTTAAGTTCGTCAAGTCCTTCCGTAATGGCGTTGGCATGACCAAGGACGAGGCTAAATCTTTTTTTAGACTCATCAATCATCCAGGCTTCAACAGGGCCGACGTGAGGGCGTGGGGCGGACTCAAAGACGTCGATCGATACGCCACTGATGTCCTAGGGCGTCATCACGGTACTTGGAAGAAGCAGATGGTGATGGTGGAGGGGATGACTGAACTGCTGGAGCTGGAGTACTGCGATTCTCTGGCAGTAAGTACTCCTCGCGCAGTACGTAACAGTGTCGTTGTGCTTGCCTCTCGTCTCGTAACCCACTTTCCCCTGGAATGTCCTATTTGCACATACATACGACGCTACTACGTGAATTTCCGTGCTTCGCTGTGCACACCCCACCCAACCACTCCCTCCCACAGGCTATACAGACCTTGTTTGGAGACCCTAAGAACAAGTCTGGGTTTGTCCTACGACCACGAGTGGAGCTCAACGCCGATCTGGAAAGGGTCTTTTCCAGACCGAAGACCGGGTTGTGGTGGGAGAACGCCCAGGTATGTCTGCAACTCACTGTTGTTGTTGTGTATCGGGTGTATGCATGCGCAATAGGTGGGTCCTGGACCCGGGCTTGACACTGCATGATATGTGTCCTGTCGCTGCGTGCAATACAGAAAGACATTCCTAATACGGACGGTGTAATAGCCTCGGTTATTGCATACAGTGATGTCACCCACTTAAGTCACAACGGTCGGCAAAGGGTGTGGCCCCTACAACTCACCCTCGCTAACATCCCCCGTGAGGGCCGGTGGCGGGATTCTGGACGAGCCCTGGTAGCACTTTTGCCAATGGGCGAACCCGACCTCAAGCCTGCAGTCAAGATACGCTTGTTCCAGGCGTGTATGGACATCATATTCGAGCCGCTAATCAATGCTTCGTACAGGTGCATCCGATATGATATTCTTGGTTGTTTCAGTTAGGGGCGATAACCTGGATGGCTATCTAAACCCGCACCTACGTTGACTGTTTGTGCATGAGGTGCAGCGGGACGGCCATGGTTGATCCGGATGGGATACAGCGAGTTGCTTACCCCATGATGTACGCGTACGTGTGTGATTACCCGGAAGGGTGTAAGGTGACTGCAACTATGCAGCAAGGCTCCGCACGTCCTTGCTCAATGTGCGAAGTGCCAGGGGATAGTCTTGACTTTGTCGACCGTCTCTTTCCGACTCGCTGCCCTAAGAAGCAAATGTCAATGGTGCATGACAAGGAATTGTGGAAGCCCATGGGCACACATCCCGTAGAGGTGCGCGAGACTCCGCCGTTTCCTATTTTAATGTCTCGGTCAGCGTTGGCGAGCAGCAAACTACTATCCTTACACCTATAGCTATCCTGTCGTGCAGAATGCTTTCTGTAAGTGGGCTTTCGCCACAGAGCGCTGGGGCAACCCATTCGGGAGAGTGCTGCCTGATGTGATGCACGTGGTGGACCTTGGTCTTTGGAAACATATCCTGGAGCAAATACGGGAAAAATACTCGCTTGGACTTCTGGCTGAAATGGATCGGTAAGCTCATGCGTTTCTGGGCGAGAATCTATACCCTAAACCTGGGATTCAGGTGGCATCTACTTGTGCTAATCCTGGTGTGGTAATAATGCACATGGCGTATACTTGTTACAGACGGCATGCCATCCTCTACTTGGTAACGAGAGCAGCGGGCCTGAAGTTGCCAAAACCCGGCCGGTACTTCAAGGGAGGGGCAAACTTTGCAGCCGCGGAACATCGTGCCATGATGCAGGTTGCTATTTTTGTCTTCGACGGCATCCTTGACGCGCATGAGATGCATCTCATTGTATTGTTCCTGGAATGGTATGAAGCAAGCTTCCGCGTCTTGGGACACACCAAAGCCTCTATCAATCTGGTAGCCCGCAAAACAGAAGTGTAAGTTTGGGGCTGCACACCTCTTGTACGTGACCGGGGTGGGGAACCTAAAACGCGTACACCGTGCCCGAGGCCATTTCGTGAAACCTCCCTACCGACCCCGGTTCCCTGAAATCACCCTCTTTGGTTGCGTGCAGGTTGATAAACCGCTGCAAGGTGGTCTTTCCCAATCAGAAGTCAGCATGGCGCCTAGTCAAAGTTCACGCCTTGGCGCACATTCCTTATGCCATGATGACACGCGGGATTCCAGAAGAGTATTCCACTAACACGTTCGAGCACTCGCATGTGTCACTTGTTAAGAGGCCGTACCGCAGCTCTAACCGGCGTCAAATCCATGCAGCTATCATCATTGCTGACGATATGCGAAGAGCCATGCGTGCCCTGCCATGGAGGGACTCGGTTGACACACAGTACATGACAGCCATGAGAGAGGTAAGTGTATCATGTATTCATGCGTTTTGCCCACATTGTTGTTTTAGTGCTGTCCATCCACCAACATCTGTGCCTCATGCCTCCTTCACCATCGCAGTCAATTGAAAAAGGGCTCCCTGTGCTGACGAAGACGTCGCAGCGCATGGTGGTTCCTGTGGACACTAGAGGCGGAGGGAGGGGGGAGGGATTGTGGCACACCTTCATGCGGGCGATGCCGGAAGACATGCGTGTGTTTGCACACACGTTAACCAACGCTGGCACGAGGATGGCAACAGTACATGTGAGTGCGTACAGCCAGTGTGGGTGAGGCATAAAGGGTTGGGGAGGGAGAAGGGGATAGGCAAGCCTGGGTGGCAAGGGAGTAGGGGAAAGGCGACCCAGGGTGGGGAGGAAGAAGGGGATAGCCAAGCCTGGGTGGCGAGGGAGTAGGGGGAGTAGGGGGAGGAAAGCATAGGTCACCAAGGCCATGTGGGAGGCAGAAGGGGACTGGATAGCCAGGGTTGGGGGAGGAGAAGGGGTAAGGATAGCCGGGTAAGGATAGCCAGGGGTGGGAGGGAGATGGGGAAGGGATAGCCAGGGTTGGTGAGGGCGAAGGGGAAAGGCGAGCAAGGGTGAGGAGGGAGAAAGGGAAGGGATAGCAAGGGTTGTGGAGGGAGAAGGGGAAGGGATAGCCAGGGTTGAGGAGGGAGAAGGGGAAAGGCAAGCCAGGGTGGAGAGGGAGAAGAGGAAAGGCGAGCCAGTGTGGGGAGGGAGAAGGGGATAGGCATGCCTGGGTGGAGAGGGAGTAGGTGAAAGGATAGCCAGGGTTGGGGAGGAAGAAGGAGAAAGGCGAGCAAGGGGGGGGTGGAGGGAGAAGGGGAAGGGATAGCAAGGGTTGAGGAGGGAGAAGGGGAAAGGCAAGCCAGGGTGGAGAGGGAGAAGAGGAAAGGCGAGCCAGGGTGGGGAGGGAGAAGGGGATAGGCATGCCTGGGTGGAGAGGGAGTAGGTGAAAGGATAGCCAGGGCTGGGGAGGAAGAAGGAGAAAGGCGAGCAAGGGGGGGGTGGAGGGAGAAGGGGAAGGGATAGCCAGGGTTGAGGAGGGAGAAGGGGAAAGGCAAGCCTGGGTGGAGAGGGAGAAGAGGAAAGGCGAGCCAGGGTGGGGAGGAAGAAGGGGATAGGCAAGCCTGGGTGGAGAGGGAGTAGGTGAAAGGATAGCCAGGGTTGGGGAGGAAGAAGGAGAAAGGCGAGCAAGGGGGGGGTGGAGGGAGAAGGGGAAGGGATAGCAAGGGTTGAGGAGGGAGAAGGGGAAAGGCAAGCCAGGGTGGAGAGGGAGAAGAGGAAAGGCGAGCCAGGGTGGGGAGGGAGAAGGGGATAGGCATGCCTGGGTGGAGAGGGAGTAGGTGAAAGGATAGCCAGGGTTGGGGAGGAAGAAGGAGAAAGGCGAGCAAGGGGGGGGTGGAGGGAGAAGGGGAAGGGATAGCCAGGGTTGAGGAGGGAGAAGGGGAAAGGCAAGCCTGGGTGGAGAGGGAGAAGAGGAAAGGCGAGCCAGGGTGGGGAGGAAGAAGGGGATAGGCAAGCCTGGGTGGAGAGGGAGTAGGTGAAAGGATAGCCAGGGTTGGGGAGGAAGAAGGAGAAAGGCGAGCAAGGGGGGGGTGGAGGGAGAAGGGGAAGGGATAGCCAGGGTTGAGGAGGGAGAAGGGGAAAGGCAAGCCTGGGTGGAGAGGGAGAAGAGGAAAGGCGAGCCAGGGTGGGGAGGAAGAAGGGGATAGGCAAGCCTGGGTGGAGAGGGAGTAGGTGAAAGGATAGCCAGGGTTGGGAGGGACGCGGGTTTAGGCCAGCCTGGCGGAGATCGAGATGGAGGGAGGCAAGCCTGGGTTTCAACCCTGGCAGAAGGGGAAAGGGCATGCGTGGGAGGCAGGCGGGGAAGAGAAATGCAAACCTTAGCGTGGACCCTGGAGGGGAGAGACGTTTACAGGTTGGAGAGGGAGAGCCACGGAGGCAAGCCTAGGGGCGGAATCAGAGGGGGACTGGACCAGCGTAGGGGGAAAGGAGGGAGGGGGGTGGGATAGCCAGAGTGGGGAATGTGACCTGGGGAGGCCAGACAAGGTTGGGGAGGGAGAAGGGGGGTCATGAGCCAGGGTTGGGTCGTCACAATGGGAATGGCCAGCCAGTGTGGGGTATGTGATACGGTTGGTTATGACCCATGGCTATGGCTGTGCATCCCATGCTGCAGTAAATCCCTTGTTGTGGTGGTATGCAGGTGCACACGGCACTGGCCCTTGGAACCCAAGGTGAGGGCGACAATCGGACGGCCGATCCAGCGTGGGTGCGGGCTTCACCGAGCTTCCATGGGAAGCCTTGCTTCTCGTTTGTGCACATCAACATGAATGGCCACGAGACTATCGCGAAGGTTCTGCTCCTTTTTAGAGACTCATCATTGCCCGAGGATGGCTACGCATTTGTGAAGCTACTATCACACATTGGCAAAGACAGTCACACACTGGCGCCGCGCCTTCAGTTTGCGGGCACAGATCCCGAAGAGCATGGATACGCTGTCCAGCCTTTGGCGAAGATCTACCAGTTGCTGCACGTGGTGCAATCTTTTCAGGAAGCAGACGTCCTGTACCACAATCAGCGGCTGTTTTGAGATGATACAAAGTTAGGTTGATCAAATCGTCTGATTGACCTGTCAGGTGTGCCGCTGGAAAGTTGCAACAACTTTAACCAGTGAGCGTGTGTAAATGCCTAATTCTGATCAATGGGGGGCTGGCATTCTCGCACTGCTGTAAGGAATTGCACGCCAATCCGACACAGTTGTATTACCCGTAAATTCTTCATGGACATGTCGTCATATTCGGAGTCATTCATTTATTTTTGCACTGTATAAGCATCCTGAATCCGTTTAAAGCGCATGTTCCGTTTGCCAAGGCAGAACCCTGGCGATCGCTTTGATTGGTTGGGCCGTTTTTGCGCGAGCTTGGATGTTTGAGGTTGGGGCGTGCAATCGCCGGAGCACACGTATACCCAATCTGTGGAGTGGCGATGGAGTTGCCAGGTAGTGACGAGTCCACTTGGATTTACACTGTAGGGACTCTGTTGGAGCCATCGGAGCATTGGATGAGTGGGTGTGTAGTTGGAGATTGGTTGGAGTAGGGGGTCAGTAGCGAGTGTAGCCACAGTGCAGCCCGAAATGTATACTCCTGACTACCACTGTCCAAAACACCCCCCACCAAAAACAAATTTGGGATGTGGGGAACAAAGGGAAGGAAATTGCGGCGCGAGGGAAGCGACTCACGCGTAAGTAACGAGGGATTTACACGTGAGAGAGAGGAACAGCAGAACACAAGCGCGACAGATATTTTCCAGCCCGCATGAGGGAAGGGACGTGCCGCGCGACGCTGGGAATAGCCGCGCGACGCTCGGATTCGTTCACCACGCTCTGAGCTCCACTAAAGCGATATATTTGTGTGCCGAGGTCTAGGGACTAATCACCAAAATGTTGAGATTGCACTGACCCTGCAGAGGGTCGTCGTGTTCTGCAGGGACACGAAATTCCCCGAAGCGGAAATTTGCAGAGGACAGGGTGGAGCTCTGCACTGCAGCAGAAGTACTTCGCAGAAGCGAATCTGCAGAGCAGATCGTGAAGCTGCAAAGGAGGGCGCATCTGCAGAGATTTCGGGTCTGCAGAAGTGTTGGAGAATCGAGTCTCTGCCGCCCCAGCCCTTTGCACACAAGGAGCAGCAAGAATGTCGGCGACGGATTGAAGGCTTCGCGAAAATTCAGAAACTTCCGCAGCAAAATCAGATTGCAGCCGAAGACTCGATACAGTTCGGGATTGCTCTCAAACAGAAGGGTCGACAGTTTCTACAGGTTTCTACAAAACAGAATCAGCTATAACAGTACATTCCAGAGATTTCTTATTCATGCACCTCATGTGGCTCTCAAGTCACTCAAGGTTCATGGAATCTGAATTGTGCCCAAGTTCCCAAGGAAGCTGCCTTGTCTAGCAGCCTAGTTTGAGCTATCAATCTGCATGTTTGTAATGCTTAAGAAGTTGTGCTTTAGTGGGCTTGTTAATCTTGATCATAGTGAAGTTTTCTCTCATCAAGCCAAGTCCAGCAGCTCTGTTGAGCTTTTCCAGCCAAGTTTCCAGCCTACCAGTCATCAAAGCTACTCTGTTTTGCAAGTTGGTATCAGAGCCCGTCGTTTTGATCAACCGAGCGCCACCGCCTTCCTATCCTAGCACAATCCATCCATGGCGGGAGACAACCCATCTGGCCCTGCTCTCCAGCCAGCCGGAGGAGCTTCAGAGTCAACATCAGGAGCTACTGGATTAGTAGAAGCAGTTGCACCAGGCAGTTCTTCAACTACATACTCACCACTCACCTCCTTCATGCCTAAGCTTCACCTCCCCAAGTTCAACGGCAAAGATTTTCCAACATGGGCAACTCAGTTTGAGCTCATTGCATCCCTTCTGGATCTCTGGCCTTACTACACTGGAGAAGCAGCCAAACCAGCAGCAGATGCTTCAGAAGCTGAAAAACGACTCTACGAACGGCGCAACAAGGAGGCCTTCCTCTACCTACTCAATAGCATTCACGAGCAGCAGTTGAAGTCGCTCCTACCCTGCTCTACAAAGGCAAACAGCGCAGAGGAAGCATGGAGCCGACTGAAGTCTATGCACCAGTCAAAATCCGAGAGCAGCCAGGCCGAGATGTGGAGCCGCTTCATGAGTCTCAAGATGGAAGAAGAAGAACCAGCCCAAACCTACCTTCAACGAGCTGAAACGATGCTAGAGGAAGCAGCCGCGATTGGCTTGGAGATTCCAGAGTCTCTATTCAAGACCGTCATCCTCACCGGCCTTACGCCGGAGTGGGACACTTTCCGTGCAACACTACAAGCACTTCCGCAATCAATGAAGACCCGTGCGTTCATCTTCGAAGCTCTTGTCAACGAGCAGCAAAGTCGAGACCTTGCACGAAACAAGCGGAGTGACGAGGGTGCGTGGAGTGCTGCAGCAGCTACAAGATATGGCAACCAATCCCAGAGCCAAGGAAATTTCAGCCCAAACCGCCCTCAACCTTACTATGGTACGAATTTTCAGTCACCTTCCAACCCATACAAACCCTCTCGTTTTGCTCAGTCAAGTCCTCCCTATAAGTCAAGTCCCTATATCCAGCCAAGGCCTTCTATTCCCAATCAATATCAGCCTAGGAATGCACGAGTCTATACGCCAAGAGTCAATAATTTCAGCCAAGCCTCAAATGCTAAAAAGTTTAATTTCGAGTGTTTTTGTTGTCATGAGTGGGGTCATCCGTGGTATGCTTGTCCTAAAAAGCCTCCTTATTGGGTTCCCCCACCTCAGCTACTATCCGAAAAGGGTAAGGCAGCCATAGCAAACATGGCAAGTCATTCTACAAGTCAAAATGAGTCCAAAGATTCTGAAGGTCCTGTCCTTTTCAACGCCGCCACTTGCATGCACGTTTTTTCTACTAGTAGTGAGGAGTTTATCCTTGATAGTGGCTGTTCTGAAACCATGACTCCCTATCAGTCCATTCTCAAGGATTTTCAGCCCTCATATGACTCAAAAGCTGTGACACTTGCTGATCTTGGCAAAGTACCTATCAAAGGAGTCGGCAAGCTTGAGTTCGAAAAGGATGGTAAGTCATTTTGTGTCAATAAAGCTTTGTTTGTTCCTGATTTGGGAGCAAACTTGCTCTCAGCTGGACAACTTGAAGAGAAAGGTGCCTCTGTACTATTGCAAGGGGGGAAAGCCAAAGTGTGGGACAGTGCAGGAAATTTGGTGGCTGAAGGCGAGCGTACCGGGCGGCTCTACAAGATGAAGTTGGAGATCAAGCGCGGTTCTAACAATACGAAGAACGACGTTGTCTCGCTTCCCGCTGTTTCAACCAACAAAGGGAGTATCTCCCAAGCTGAGGTATGGCATGCACGCTTGGGGCACTTGGGAATGCAAGCATTGAAAGAGTTGGTGAATCACAAGAGCGCGGAAGGATTGGGTTTGAGTGAAATCGCAGTCAAGTCCCTTTCTTCCGTTCCATGTCCATCTTGTGTTGAGGGTAAGCTAGCTAGAAAGCCATTTTTCCCTTCTAAGTCTCAGTCTAGGGACCTCCTAGAGTTGGTCCACACTGATGTATTTGGCCCCATGCGAGACCCTACTCGAAACGGTAAGAGATATTTGGTGTCTTTCATTGATGACAAGAGTCGTTTCTCGTGGTCATTTTTCATCAACACCAAGGATGAAGTTCACAAGTGTTTCAAGCAATGGCTAGCACTTGTTGAGAGAGAGTCAGGGAAGAAGTTACTCACCTTGAGGTCGGACCGAGGAGGTGAGTATATGGGAAAAGCATTTCAGGGGGAGTTGTTGGCATTGGGCATCAAACATCAGTTCACTTGTCCCTATAGTCCTCAGCAAAATGGAGTTGCAGAGAGGTTTCATCGCACTATTCAAGCAATAGCTACCACTTTTCTTCAGTTTAAGGGCCTTGACAAGCTCTGGTGGGGTGAGGCAATCACTATGGCAATCTATGTTCGCAACAGGAGACCCACAAGGCCCCTACCGGATAGTGTAACGCCATATGAGGCTTGGTTTGGAGTTAAACCAGATCTGTCTATGCTTCGTGTTTTTGGTTCCATGACCCAATACCGTGTTCCAGATGCAAAGAGAGTCAAGCTGGACAGCAGAGCTCATTGGGGCCTCTTCATCGGCATGAGCAACGAGAGCAAGGGATGGGTCCTTTGGGATCCCGTCACCAAGCGAGAAGTGGTTTCAAGGGATGTGGTCTTCTATGAAGACATGTCCCTTGCAGATTGGCACAAGTTTTCCTCTTCCTCCTCTCTACCACCCTCTCTCCAACAGGAACCAGCAAGAGCACCTGAGGAAACAACACAAGAGGAGGACGGAGATGACACCAATTCTGACCATAGCGGACCCATCATCGATCTCCCGCAAGCCGTCGTCAACGAGACCAGCTGCGCCACACCAGTGCCACCAGCAGCTACTCAACCAAGTGGAGATGTGGTTCAGCCGTCAAATGAAGACAATCCACCCCAAGAAGTCACCGTTACATCACCGCCAAAGGAGCAGCAGCCAACCGTCACCAACCAGCCAGCTGCTTCAACACCAACCCCGCAAGTTCAACGTCACCCGGATCAGCCCACCACTACACCATCAAACCCATCACCAGCCGTCAATTCAGAGGCAACTACAGAAGCTCACCATCATCCAATGCAGCAGCAACCTACAGCTACAAGACTCCAAGTACCTACATCAGCACCATCTACAATTCTTCCTACCAACAAGACAACCATTACCGCAACATCTCGTTCTCACACACGTTCATCACTTCAGGTTCCAACGTCAAGCCAGCTCATAGCACGAGGATCACTTCAGCGAATCACCACCAACACCAGCTCCAACAGCCCACTTCTTTACCCAAGACCTTTCTCAACTTCACCCCCATGTCCCGGAATCGGCCGTCATCAGTTACCGCCATCTTCAACACCGAGAAACAGCGCCAATCAGACCAAACCGTCTCCAACTTTCGACAACGCAGCGTCATCATCAATTCCCAAGCTTCTAGTCTCAAGATCCCCACCAAGAGAATCTTCACAGCCAACTATGCCGACGAACATTTCAGCTTCACCGACACAAGTCACCACACCTATTCCTCAAGTCAACACCGATAATCGAGAGAGTTCCACGCCGGGAGAAGATCATGCAGTCGTGCCGCCGTCGCAGCCGATGTCGCAGCCATTGTCTCAGCCGCAGATGACCGTGTCAATGCATCCAACCACTGTGAGACCGAACCCTACCATTGATTTGTCTCACCCAAGTGAGGCTTTGGGTAAAGGTAAACGAGTCCGCAAGGTAAAAAAGCCATTCACATTCATGGTTGACATGTCATCAAGGTGCACATGTGAGGAGAGCGAGGATTGCATTCACAAGAAGGAAGAGGCAATATGCATGGCAGCGTCACACCTTCCACGAGAGCCATTGAGTCGTCGTGAGGCAGTGGCAAGTCCCGAGAGAGAGCAATGGTTGAAGGCCGAGGAAGAAGAGATTGAGAGTCTCATGAAGAGAGGTACATGGCGTCTTGTTGAGCCACCTCCAGGGAAGAAGGTAATTGGTGTCAAGTGGGTGTACAAGATTAAGGTAAAAGGTGATGGTACACTTGATAGGTACAAGGCAAGGTTAGTGGCAAAAGGTTATTCCCAAATTCCAGGTCTAGACTTCACCAAAACCTTTGCCGCAGTAGCGAAGTACACCACGGTACGAGTCCTCCTCGCCATAGCCGCATATCTTGGTCTCCATATCCATCAAATGGATGTCAAGAACGCATTTCTCTACGGTGTCTTGGAAGAAGAGGTATACATGGCACAACCCGAAGGTTATGATGATGGTACGGGTCGAGTTTGTCGCTTGGTAAAGTCCCTTTATGGTCTCAAACAGTCCCCACGGGTATGGTATCATGCTCTTGAGAAGGTACTCTTCAAGCACGGTTTCACAAGGTCCATGAGAGACAACGCGTTGTACTTCATGCACACGAGTGAGGGGGAGTACATTTGGCTCTTGGTATATGTCGATGATCTCCTCCTAGTCTCAGGTTCTCTTGATCTCCTCAACAAGGTGAAAGGTATTCTCATGAGTGCATTCACAATGACCGATCTTGGTGAGCCGAGTCATTATCTTGGTATGAACATTGTGAGAGATCATAAGTCACGGTCCATCTTCCTATTCCAGCAAAGGTACATCCAAAAGGTCCTGGAGAGGTTTGGTCTTGATGATAGCAAGCCATCACCTACCCCACTTCCTACCAACTTTGTCCCTTTGTCTTCACATCAGCCCTTTGAGGAGAGAGAGTCAAGCCTGGATATCACGGGTATTGAGGAGTTGTGTCTTGAGGAGAGTGAGCATCATGGTGAGAATTCACCCAAGGTATCCCCACAAGACCTAGCTCTCTACCAAAGTCAGGTTGGGTGTCTCATGTATGCAGCCCTATGCACAAGGCCCGACCTAGCATTCATGGTATCCAAGCTCGCTCAACACATGAGTGCCCCATCACCTATCCATATGCATGCAGCCAAGCGAGCTCTTCGGTATCTCAAAGGTACTTCTAATCATGGTCTTCTCTTCCAAGCCAGCCCACATGCAAGCTCCCTCCAAGGCTTTACCAATGCAGATTGGGCGGGAGATTTGAGCGCACGCAAGTCCACCGGTGGCTATATCTTCCTTATGTGCGGTGCCGCTGTTTCTTGGCAATCGCGCAAGCAAAGTTGTGTGGCGCTTTCTACAACCGAAGCTGAGTACATAGCAATGACCGAAGGAGCAAGGGAGGCAATTTGGTTACGTGGACTCTTGGAGGACTTGAGGCAGCCGCAAACTCAACCAACTCCGCTCTACGTGGAAAACACTTCAGCTCTCGCCCTCTCCAAGAATCCGGTTCATCATGGGCGTACAAAACACATCGAGGTGCAGTACCATTTCATTCGTGAGCAACTAGAGAAGGGAGTTCTCGCCGTCAACTTTTGCCGTTCATTCGACCAAGCGGCAGATTTCATGACTAAGGTTCTTCCACATGATGCATTCAACATGTGCAAGGCAAGAGCAGGTCTCATGACACTTCATGAAGCAGTGCAGCAGTTTGAGGAGAATGAGGAGAAGCAACATGGGCAGCAGCATGGAGTGTATGCCAAGGAGATGTAAGAGGAGAGTAAGAATGGGCGTATGTGTGCTTCGGGTCTGGTGCGAGGGGGAGTGTTGGAGAATCGAGTCTCTGCCGCCCCAGCCCTTTGCACACAAGGAGCAGCAAGAATGTCGGCGACGGATTGAAGGCTTCGCGAAAATTCAGAAACTTCCGCAGCAAAATCAGATTGCAGCCGAAGACTCGATACAGTTCGGGATTGCTCTCAAACAGAAGGGTCGACAGTTTCTACAGGTTTCTACAAAACAGAATCAGCTATAACAGTACATTCCAGAGATTTCTTATTCATGCACCTCATGTGGCTCTCAAGTCACTCAAGGTTCATGGAATCTGAATTGTGCCCAAGTTCCCAAGGAAGTTGCCTTGTCTAGCAGCCTAGTTTGAGCTATCAATCTGCATGTTTGTAATGCTTAAGAAGTTGTGCTTTAGTGGGCTTGTTAATCTTGATCATAGTGAAGTTTTCTCTCATCAAGCCAAGTCCAGCAGCTCTGTTGAGCTTTTCCAGCCAAGTTTCCAGCCTACCAGTCATCAAAGCTACTCTGTTTTGCAAGTAGAAGAAGGCCATCTGCAGAAGCGAAATTCTGCAGAGGACCGAGTCTTCTACCGGCGAACCCCTCCGATGCAAAAGTGCGATCGTTTCGGAACTTTTGCGTAGGAGATTCGGGAAATTGCGGACATTGAGAAATTGACCCCCGGAAACAGTGCGTGAACTTGGGGAGTTCAATCTGGGGGCGAATTGAACCACCTGAGCTAACTGAACCTGGCGCACGTTTTCGTAACTACGAAAACGTGCGTTACAGAAGTTGTTTAAAACAAGACTCGACGTTCAACGTCGTATGGGTTGCGTAGGTGCTGGAAACTCGATATGAGCTGACTGATCTCCATGTATGATCTCCCCATCTGTAATTGGTTTTTCTCATAACGCATATCCGTATGTGTGTTACAATTACGACTAGACCAATTATTAACTTAAAACGGTATACTATATATGGTGCTTTGTTTTGCGCTGGCAGAAATTGTATCGTTCTGCGGTGGCAGAAATTGTCTTGTTCTGCGCTGGCAAAAATTTCATCTCTGCGCTGGCATCCGTCCCTTTTATAGCTGCCAACTCAATTTCTGCGCTCTTTTCTTGGTTCTTGTTTTCTGGTTCCTCTCGACTCGACAAGCACACCTGCTCTGCTCTTATTCCTCTTCCTTCCCCCCACCCCAATTTCTGGCCAGTTCTCCTACCTAGCCGTCGCTCTTGCTCCTATCCCGCCGTATCCTCTCCCCCACTACCCACCTTCACCTCTCCTATTCACCTCACAGTCACTCAGCCCCACCCCGCGATCTCCTCTTCCTTACCTCCCCTCCGTCGCCTCTCCCTCCTCCCCGCCGTCGCCTCTCCCTCCTCCCCGCCGTCACCTCTCCCCCCTCCCCGTCGTCGCCTCTCCCTCCTCCCCGCCGTCGCCTCTCCCTCCTCCCCGCCGTCGCCTCTCCCTCCTCCCCGCCGTCGCCTCTCCCTCCTCCCCGCCGTCGCCTCTCCCTCCTCCCCGCCGTCGCCTCTCCCCCCTCCCCGCCGTCGCCTCTCCCCCCTCCCCGCCGTCGCCTCTCCCTCCTCCCCGCCGTCGCCTCTCCCTCCTCCCCGCCGTCGCCTCTCCCTCCTCCCCGCCGTCGCCTCTCCCTCCTCCCCGCCGTCGCCTCTCCCTCCTCCCCGCCGTCGCCTCTCCCTCCTCCCCGCCGTCGCCTCTCCCTCCTCCCCGCCGTCGCCTCTCCCTCCTCCCCGCCGTCGCCGCTCCTTCCTCCCCGCCGTCGCCGCTCCTTCCTCCCCGCCGTCGCCGCTCCTTCCTCCCCGCCGTCGCCTCTCCCTCCTCCCCGCCGTCCCCTCTCCCTCCACGCGGTTGCCTCTCCCTCCTTCCCGCTGTCGCCGCTCCCCCCTGAGAGCGTGGGAGCGCGTGAGAGAACGTGGGAGTTTGCGTGTGAATTTCTGTTGCGCTTACTTTGTTTTTTAGCTGCATTCTCTGGTTTTGTTTTCTTGTGCAACTAATGCAAGTTGTATTCTCTGGTTTTGTTCTTGTTTGTGCAGGGAGTGATTTGCATTCGCTGATTTTCCTTTCCTATGCAAGGAGTCCAAGCTGCAGCCTTTGTTTCTTGCGGAGAAAAGAGATGGGGAGAAGGGAGATGAGGGAAATGAGGGAGGGAGGGAGGGAGGGAGGGAGGGAGGGAGGGAGGGGAACGGGGGACAAGATAGAGATAATTAATTTATACAAGGCTAAAATTCATTCATTATGCTTGCATGCTTATTACAATAGCTGTATGTTTTTGCGTTGTGTGTGTCTGTATATGTGTGAGCGTGTATGTGTGTGAGTGCGTACATGTGCATACGTGTGTTGTGCGTGCTTCAGGGTGTGGTGCTAAGTGCCTCGTGAATGCAACTCGGATTGTGATCGTCGGTGGAGCAGCTTTGCTAGCCTCTTCCGTACCATATCAATCTCAGTTGCAGCACTGATGCATTTAGCATCCGCTTTGAAACATTCTTAAACGTTGTCTTCTGTTTTCATAATCATTTATGTGTTATCGTCTGTGCTTGTTTCGGGGGTGTGGTGCTAAGTGTATCGTGTATGCAACTAGGATTGTGATCGTCGGTGGGGCAGCTTTGCTCGCCTCTTTCGTACCATATCAGTCTCAGTTGTTGCATTGATGCATTTACTATCCCCTTCAAAACATGTACGACGGTTCTTGTACACCATCGTTTTTGTGGTCATTTGTGTATGTGTGTTTCTTGGTGGTACTGTAGTATTTTTTGTGTTGTCCTTTGTGTTCGTGTGTCATTCGGTACCATATCATCTTTAGTGCTAGAACAATTCTCCAATTGTTCCATTCGCCGTACTTATCGACGATTATGGAATGATTGGAAACATTTGTTTTCACATTTTTGGGGAAGCTATGTGAACAGTGATTTCTTTCAAAATTTATAAGAGAAATTCACTGTTCAAATCAGCCAACCGAAAAGTGAAAACGAATGTATAAGGTTGCTACGCAACCCAAAAATTTGAACAACTAAAACAACTACTTTTAGGTAGGTAAATATTAACTACCAAGCACATGTTGTAATTTTAACCTGCCGACGCTGAGTTGGCAAAGCGCAGCTAAAAGTAGTTATGTAAACGTTCTTGGGCGAACGTTCTCTGCATGGTTCATTGGTTGGGTAGCTTCTATTTCACCCCTTGTTGTATTCTATCTTTCAACTATAATAGTGAATTCTCTTTGTGTGCCAAGTCTATGCCTTACTCAACACTTAGCCAATTTTCTCCTTAGTGAACAACAAAGTTTGCGTGGCTGCAGAGAAGCATTTCGTAGAGCTCCAACTCCCGTTAGAGCAGAAATCTCTGCATGGTGCGGTGAGCATGGATCGAACACGCATAGAGCCCGTTCTTCTACGTTAGGTCTCATTGGACTTAGATCGTCGACATGGAGGATACTGAGGATATCCTTGAGGGAATCGACAGTCTAAGTGAGCGGGAGGCTGCGGTGCTTGCTCGTCATGAAGGTGGAAACCTCACCGAGCAGGAGCTCAACTTCATGCTGTTGGGAGTACGAGCTCAATGGGAGATGGAACATTCGCCGACTCGTGCAGAGAGAGACGAGGAATCGCAGACTTCTGGAGACGACAAGAACGCTGAAGAACAGGCGGAAGGCGGAATGCAGGAGCAACGAGGTGTTCTAGGACAAGGAGAACCGATGAGCCCTGGAGAAGGCTCGCAGCAGAAGGCGGATGCAAGTCCGAAGAACGCGGCTGGCAAAGGACGCTTGAGCGGTCAAGGATCTGCAGTAAAGACTGGTGGAAGCTCGGCAGTTTCTCATCAATCGGCATCGAAAGACGGCGGAGTCTCCTTTACTGCACTGCCCTCACCCTACTGTTTGCACTACTAGTCTACTGTGGTCATGGCTACCCCTAGTGTTCTCGCTTTTGACGCTGAGGGTCGGGCCATTGACTTTGAGGTCTGGGTAGATGACCTGCAGCTGTTCTTAGAGTGCGATAGGGCAGACGGCCTCTCTCTCTTTGACCTCACCCCTGCTGCTGATGCTGACGCCACTGTTCGTTCCCAGTGGGCCACGCGCGACGCTGCTGCACGTCTTGCTGTGCGTCGCCACCTCCCTACCTCCGAGCGTGCACACTTTAGTCAGTACAAGAGTGCTCAGACCTTGTACGACGCTGTAGTTGCACGCTACTCCTCCCCTGCCACTGCTGCACTGAGCCGTCTCATGCTGCCCTACCTCTTCCCTGACCTTGCTGCCTTTCCCACAGTCGCTGACCTCATTACGCACCTCCGCACTAGTGACACTCGCTACCGCGCTGCGCTTCCTGCTGACTTCTGCGCCAAGAACCCCCCCCCCATGTACATCACCCTCTACTTCATAGTCACCCGACTCCCTGACTCCCTTAGAGTAGTCAGGGACCACTTCCTCGCAGTGTGCCCCACAACTCTCACCATTGACCTCCTCGAGAAGGCCCTCCTAGTAGCGGAGACGAGCATAGTCGCTGTAGGAGCCTCTCGTGGTGACCCCCGCACCCCTGACTTTAAGGGGTGTTCTCCCTCCCCCCTCTTGCCCTCTGTTGCTTCTGCTGCTGCGGCCGACCTCGTTGGTTTCGAGTCGGTCGGCGCTGCGTCTGCCCCTTCGGGGAAGCGCCGCACAGGCAAGGGCAAGGGGGGCAAGGGCGCTGGAGGAGATGGCGGGGGCGGTGGAGGTGGCGGTGGAGGCGGCGGAGGGAGTGGGGGTAGTGGTGGGAGTGGTGGAGGGGGTGGGGGTACCGGTGGCAGCAGTGGTAGCGGGGTCGGCGGCGGTGGCGGAGGGAGCGGAGGCGGCGGTGGTAGCGGAGGCGGCGGTGGTGGCGGAGGTGGCGGAGGCGGCGGAGGCGGCGGAGGAGGCGGAGGTGGCGGTGGAGCTGGTCGCGAGTCTACGCAGAGGAGTGGCTCTGGTGGTGGTCCGCGCTAGCAGCAGCAGCGCGGTCGTGAGAAACTGTCCCCTCAGCTGCTCCGTGAGTGGTATACTGCACGCCAGCGGGGTGGGGGTACAGGTCCGTGCACCTACGTCCTGCGCACCGGCGACCGTGCAGGTGAGCAGTGTGGGGGTGCGCACCCCAGCCAGCGCTGCTTTGGCCGCCTGACGGACGCGTGGCGTCACGAGTTCCCTGAGGCCACAGAAATCCCTCGCTGGGGCGAGCTGTCTAGGGCGGGAGTTGCCATCTATGATCTTGATTTTGATGCTATTCTGTCTGCCATGTATGCTGTGATTATTAGTGATGAGGGTGACTGTTACCAGTGTTTCCCGCCCGATCCAGGCATTCAGACTGCTGCTCTAGGTACTGGTACGGCTGCTGCCCTAGGTGCTTGCGACGCTGCTGCTCTAGGTGCTAGTGCGTCTGCGTCCTCAGGTACTGGTGAGTCTGCGCTCTCAGGTACTGCGTCGGCTTTGGCCTCCCTCACCTTCACCCTTGACTCCGGGGCTTCTCGCTCCTTCTTTCGGGACCGCACCACACTCACGCCGCTGAGTCGGCCGGTTGCGGTGTCTCTGGCTGACCCCTCTGGGGGTCCTGCCCTGTCTCACTTCTCCACAGTCCTCCCGTGTCCGGCAGCCCCCTCTGGCACCCTATCTGGTCTCTACCTCCCCTCGTTCTCTACGAACTTGGTGAGTGGTGCGTTAGCGAGTGTCGCACTGCACAGAGGCTCGCACAGGCCGCCACTTGGCTACGTTTACACGTCAGCCGGGGTCGAGCCTGTACACACTGACCACTGCGTCTCCTCCAGTCACTGAGTCTGGTCGGGTAGTTGCGTCGGGTCAGGTGTTTGCTGCAGCGTCCAGGTCTGGCCCTGAGTCTGCCCCCTGTTTGTGTCGTCTCCTGTCTCACGAGACTCTCCTCTGGCACCACCGCCTTGGTCACCCCTCTCTGCTTCGTCTCAGAGGCATGGCCTCCCGTCTTCTTGTTTCTGGTCTCCCCCGGTCCCTTCCTCCCCTTCCTCAGGGGCCTGGCCCTACCTCTGTCCCCTGTGTCGAGGGGCGCCAGCGGGCTGCCCCTTACTCCTCCCAGTTTCCTCCGACGGAGGCCCCGCTGCAGACGCTTCACCTAGACGTGTGGGGCCCAGCCCGCGTTCGTGGACAGGGTCAGGAGCGCTACGTCCTGCTCGTTTTTTACAACTACTCGCGTTACACCGCGGTCTTCCCCTTGCGCAGCAAGGGTGATGTTACTGAGGTGCTGATCGACTGGATCCGCGCAGCTCGTCTCCAGCTCAGGCGGAGCTTTGGCTCGGACTTTCCTGTCCTGCGTTTGCACTCGGACAGAGGCAGAGAGTTTTCCTGTGGCCTTCTGAGAGCCGAAAGTCGCACACGAGGCATCCGTCACACCTTCACGCTTCCGGACTCTCCGCAGCAAAATGGGATCGCTGAGCGCCGCATTGGCATGGTCATGGACGTCGCTTGTACGTCTATGATGCATGCGGCTGCCCCCCATTTTCTATGGCCGTTTGCTGTGAGGTACGCGGCGCATCAGATCAACCTTCACCCCAGGGTCTCCAGGCCGGAGACCTCCCCAGCCTTGCTGCGGACGGGGAAGGTTGGCGATGCGTTGGCGTTCCGGGTCTGGGGATCTCGGGCGTTTGTCCGCGACTAGTCTGCGGACAAGCTGTCCCCTCGTGCTGCTCCTTGCGTCTTCCTGGGGTTCCCCCTAGACGCGCCTAGGTGGCAGTTCTACCACCCCACCTCTCGCCGTGTTCTGTCCTCCCAGGACGTCACGTTTGACGAGTCGGTCCCCTACTACCGCCTCTTCCCCTACCGCACTCCGTCCCTCCCCCCGCCCCCGCTCTTCCTTGTCCCAGGTCCCCCCCCGGTAGACCCCCTCCCCCCTCAGGGTCCTGCCCTTCAGGTGTGTCCCAGGTAGACGT